AGATAGATAGATAGATAGATAGATAGATAGATAGATAGATAGATAGATAGATAGATAGATACACATACATACATACACACACACTTATTTTTGAGAGCGGGCATCAGAACTTCATTTTTTAACCTGTTGCCAGTGTGTTCACAGAAGAAGAAAAAAAGTGACAACAAAGTTTATCTTATTAGTATTGCAATAAAAAGGAAAGGAAAGGAAAACCTCTTGGATCTGAGCTTGCCACCACCGCCTTACCTTGTACAAGTTGATGGGAATGTCGATGAGGATGAGCAGCAGGTCCCCCAGCGCCAGGCTGGCGATGAGGATGTTAGGGCCGTTCCTCATGCATTTGTTCTTGTAGATGATCCGGAGCAAGGTGGAGTTGCCGATGATGCCCAGCACGAAGACCAGGCAAGCGATCACCGTGTTGATGTATTTGAACGTCTTCTTGATCTCCAGCCGGCCGGCGCACATCGGGTAAGCGGGCGGAGGCGGTCGAGAAGCGTTGGAACCGCCGAAGCCTTCCTCTACCTCGGCTGCCACGGGAGCCGCGCTCGGCCAGGAGGAGGCGGCGGCGGCGGCCAGGCTCGGCGCGGTGATCTCGGCCAGGCGCGGCGAAGAGTCGCCCAGCTCCAGCGCTCGGGTGCCGGCCGCGCAGTAGGCTAGCACGGCGGCCGAGATCCACAGGAAGCCCCCGGCCATGATCGCAGGGCAGCTAGGACGGAGAGGGGTTGCGGGGGTGGAACGCGCGGGAGAAACCTATGCAAGAAAAAAAAAGCCACCCGTTAGGATAAGGCGCAGCTTCTGAGGGAAGCCCTCACGTCGGCTGGCAGCGGGTTCCTCCAGCGGCGAATGGCAGGCAGCCGGAGCACGTGCGGCGCCCACCCGGAGCCAACGAGCCGTCTGACCGACCCCCGGCCTTTACGGAGAGAAGACGATTCGCTCGGGCCGAGAAACGTCGCTTCCTGGATAAACACAACTCTGCTTTGAAGAGGCTTTGCGCGGGCGAGGAGCCAGCGCTGGGGAAAGAGGAGGGGGTGAGGGGAGTGCAGACCTCGGGCTTGACCAGACACAGTCGCTTATCTGAGATGGTATAGGATAGGGTCTCCTGCTTGAGCAGGGCTGGACTAGAAGACCTCCAAGGTCCCTTCCAGCTCTATTCCTATTCTAACTTGATATAGAATTGGGGACTCTGCTTTTCCCAAGGCTTTCAGGAGGGGAAAATAGTAGTAGTAGTAGTAGTAGTAGTAGTAGTAGTAGTAGTAGTAGTAATAATAATAATAATAATAATAATAATAATAATAATAATAATAATA